AGTATAAACGGACACACAGACACACCTAAAAGATCTAAGATGCACTTTAACAAAATAAGATAAATTTTTGGTTTTCTTGGGAATTCAGAGGGAAGGCTTCAAGGGTGTGAGAAAAGGTACGAGAGAGATGTAAGAAAGCTCTGAAGCAGCAGTTCTCAAACGTGGCTGAACACTAGAATCACCTGGGTAACTTTAAAAATGTTGGTGATCCCACCCCAAATGCTTCTGATTTAATTGGTTTGGGGTAAGGCTTGTGCACCAGGATTTTTGGAAACTCTCTAGGTGATTCTAATATACAGCAAAGACTGAGAACCATGATATAAAGAGACTGAAGCAGAAGGTTCCATAGATGGATGCAATCTATAAGAGGGTCTCTCAGGAAGTAGCTAATACATTTGTAAAACTATAATGTTTGACATTAGATCGGAAATTGTCCTCTTCTCTATAATATAATCAATTCTGACCACCTACCTGCTAAACATCATTAAAGCTCTCATCATCAGGGGCTCTGTGGGAAAGAGGAAGACAGGTTCCCGTGAGTGGGACAGAGCAGGGCAGAAGTGAGATCTCAGCTGTGGGAACTGTGATTGAAGGAGGCAGGGGCACTGGGAATTCAGAGAGGCAGAAACTCACAAAGTGAATGTGAAAATGGAACACCCACCCCTCTGCCTAACCCTAGAGATTTGGGGGAAAATGCTGTCATATCCCAAGACATTTCTATTTAAATGTTAATGGGAAGGAAGACAAGGGCAAACCAAAGAATGAAAATATCCAGACAACAAAGATTTGGGTTCCCAGACCATCTTGGGGTGTGGGGAGTGGACTTCATGATTATTATTGTGGAGAAAAAGAAAATCAAACAAAAAGGAAAGGCACTACAGAAAGTCCCTGGTCAAGGCAAGATATGACGTTGAGTATTTGACTCTCAGATTTGGATTCTTCTCATTAGATTCTAGAACCCCATGATCTGGTGATTATGTCCCCTTACTGCCAGGGGAGTTAAAACTAGAGCTCTGGAAATACAGACTGACTTGGCAAGTCAGCCAGACTTCATGTTACGGAGACAGTGCTGGGCACAAACCAGGAAGATTACGATCTAAAGCAGATCATGTATTCATGTCCACAAGTGAAAGCAAATTCTGTAATTGTTATAGACCAACATATCATTATAGACCAACAAAGGTGTGTGTGTGTGTGTGGTGGGGGTGGGTGCGTTTTCAGGAAAAGAACTTTGCTTTGAGGTGGGCATGCATGAGTCAAAGGAATAAAAAGGAAGTAAAGAACATGGAAATTCCTCAAGTGACATAACTGACCACTGGTAATATGTCACAAACAGCTCCGTTCAGAGTAGATTTTACTGAAACTATGTGAATTTTTAAAAATGAGACTCTAGGGAGAACTGATTCTGTTTTCTCAGCTCACAATTATCTTCAGATTCTTTTTTCCTTCTTCCTGTCCTTGTTTTTTGTTTGTTTTTTTGGGCACTGTTCTGTGAAATTCACAGATACGAATTTTAAAATTTCAAGACATCATATGTTCCAAATGTTCTTCTTTGCAACTACCTAAAACTTTGCTTACAAAGGGCCATGAAATCAACTGATGCATTTCTGACTATACTAGATGTATTAAATGAGATAAATGTGAAACCACCAACTCAGATATGGCACCCAATAGGTGCTCCCTACACATGTATTTAAACCTAGGTCTCACTTCTGTGCACCAAATTTGCTTAGGTAGATTGCTGGGTCAGAGAACACATATATCTTTTATAGGTAGACATTGCTAGATTCCTTTCCACAAATGCCAAACCAATTCACTGTCCTCAACACAGTGTTTAAGAATACCATTCCCTCGTGTCCTGCCCTTTGCCATATGTTTATAAATTTTCACTTTTAAACTAGTTATTTTGATAATGCATACAGACTCACTATGCTAAAAAATATTCATGCTTTTACCTTAGGATCTTTGTGAGATTGAAAACAATTTTTGAAGACATTGACTACACTGACATGAGTCATTGAACAAACATTTAGTAAAGTCCATGTCTCTTGATTTACACAATGAAGAAACTAAACAGCATGGCTTTCATCATCAGCCCTTGAAGATGCTGATGATAATCATGACGTTCCTTATGCCACCGGAGACTCCTTAGCCAAGGCCCTGCTCCTCGAGGGTGAGCAAATAAACACGTTTATAAGAAACAGATGGTTATACGAAGATTTTCCACTATAACAAATAGTATGTCAAGATGATGACCTTTTTCTCCAAGTACTGCAAAGATCTGGGATTTCCTTTGGTGTGGACGGTAAGTCAGACAGACCTCCAATCCAAGCGTGCAAATGATGAAGATAAGGAAGAGGAATTGTCCAAATAGTTTAAATTCCAACTTTCTGATTATATCTAGATCTGATGGTATCTAAAATAAGACTTATACTCATGCTTCATTTCTTCCCAATTTTGGTTGATTCCCCTTTGATAGAGGGACAGATTTTCTACTCTGAGATGTTGCTTTGATAGATACTTTACTTTTGCAAAGTTCTGACTTAGAAAAAAGAAATCAGAGTATTTCCGGGCAGAAACAGGCCTAAAAATAGCCTTGCAACATCGATAGGAGTGAAGAAAATTTTTACGATTTTCTTGCCTAAGGAAAAGCAATTCATGGAGATCAGAATTATTTACATGCTGATGTATATGATTAAAATGCAGCCCCTCATATCCCTTCACCATCCTCTACCAATCTGACGCAACTCGGGGGAAACAACCTGACTCTTCATTTTCTTCCCAAATATTGTGACCTAGATCTTAAGAGCAAAACCATTTTTAGCTATGGTAGGGAATTGTAGGGTTTCACTGTCATACTAATTAGAAATTTGGAATTTCATAATTACAAGGTACTGGTAAGGGAAGCTTAACCCACATATGTAGTTTTTAAATTCCAATGTGGGCCGGGTGTGGTGGCTCACACCTGCAATCCCAGCACTTTGGGAGGCCAAGCCAGGTGGATCACGAGATCAGGAGTTCAAGACCAGCCTGACCAGCATGATGAAACCCCATCTCTACTAAAAATACAAAAATTAGCTGAGTGTCTTGGTTCACACCTGTCATTCCAGCTACTCAAGAGGTTCAGGCAGGAGAATCGCCTGAACCCAGGAGGCAGAGGTTGCAGTGAGCAGATATTGCACCACTGTACTCCAGCCTGGGGGACAGAGCAAGACTCCATCTCAAAAAATATATATATATCCAATGTGTTTCATCTACAGAGTAAATGTATTACTTCCTGGTTCTTAAGACAAAAATATACTTTCCACTGAGTTCTAAGAGGGCTTTAATTCCTGCATTTAGGTCTAATTGCTGTTTCCATAGCCTCCTGCTACCTGATATGACTATTCTTATTCCTGATCCCACAGCCATACTTTGTGTTATTTGAAGGTACACATTTTCTGTCATAATAAACCAAGAAAAATCATGGCAACACTGAAAACTATGCCCAGCAGGCAAGGTAGTGACACAACTCTAGAGGAACTTCTGCTAAGTTTAAGATCAGTGGAGCTGGGTTGAGAAAACCATACGCAGATCTACTTCAAAGGCCACCAGGAGAGAATATTTCTAATAAATCAGAGAGGAGGCTGGGTGTGGTGGCTCACGCCTGTAATCCCAGCACTTTGGGAGGCCAGGGTGGGCAGATCACGAGGTCTTGAGTTCAAGACCAGCCTGGCCAAGACGGTGAAATCCCATATCTACTAAAAATACAAAAATTAGCTGGGCACAGTGGCAGGCGCCTGTAGTCCCAGCTCCTTGGGAGGCTGAGTCAGAAGAATTGCTTGAACCCAGCAGGCGGAGGTTGCAGTGAGCCGAGATCGGCCACTGCACTCTAGCCTGGGTGACAGACCGAGACTCCGTCTCAAAATAAATAAATAAATAAAATAAATAAAAATAAATAAATTAGAGAGAACATGAAAGAGTGGCTTGAGGGTGATATTTTTCCATCACTCATTGTCCCAGCATCTGTTCCAACCCGGAATCAACTTAGCTAATCTTCTACCTCATGCACAGGTGCTGCTTTCTGATATGGCCAAACTGGAAAGCTGAGGCAAGTGTTAATAAAAGTGCTGGAAAGAGGCTGATTTCAGAAAATCAATCAAAACATAACCCACATTGAAGACGTAGTCATCAATATTTAGATGCCAAATTACAGATACCACTTATAACTATAAAACAAACACAGAGAAAGTAATAAAAATCAATTTGAATGAAACTTTTTAATGTCTTTTTGGACTTTGATAGATCAATTAGACAAAAGTAAATGAGCACAGTAAAAAAATTAAGAATTTAATTTTTTTTAAATATTTTGAATTTATATATAAAGATTATATTGCATTTCAAGCATCTATAGAACATGGATGAAAGTCGACCATATATCATGACGTTAATAAAAGCTTGTTATAAAAAGCTCTTACGAGAATTTTTCCAAAGTGAAAAGAAATTCCTCAGAGTTCTAATGTTCATAATGTACAATGAAATGATTGCCTCCAAAGATTTATGCCAATTTAAATGTCATTTGTAATGTTAGTAGCTAGAAGTCAGCTAGTAGGTAAGCATTTTTTGCAGAGTTTATGCTAAGTCTGCTATCATACCAAATAAGAGAATGATCCCAAGGTATCAACTACCTGGATTTCCATTATACTAAATTGTCTTTTCTCCTGATTAAGTCAATGAAAATAGTCATACTCAGCTAAAATAAATTTAGGAAAAAAAAAAGTCCTTCTGTATAGCTGCTGTTAGAAGATACTCTGCGCTAAAATTGAAATAGTCTCAGAACCATGGGATTATCATCTTGGTTCACTTCACACCTAGACAACTTGATGCAAATCTTACCCATGCGTAGAACGAGTTCATTGAGAAAGCCTGGGGGAACAATGTCTAGCTCCCAGACTAACCAATCACAGCAACACATTAATTCTAAATAGAGTCAAGTTGATATTTTTCAATGAACTACTCACTTTCCAATTTATGTCAGAGAGCAGTTGGTCTTGTTATTAGGCAAATTCATAAGTTCCAGTCTTCAGCTTTTCGTAGTCATTGTTGATATGCTGTGGGCCTAATCAGGGCCCATGGAAAAACTGCAGGTATGGACATTTTGAAGCAGCAGCTTTCAATGTCTTTCAAGGCTCCAAAATACAGCTTGAAAGGAAAAAAAAAAAAGGCACTCAGATGAACTTAGAAGAATGCCAAAGGGAGAGAAATGAGGGAAAAGAAAAATGGGAATGTGTGCAGAATGATAAATTGACTCTACGTCAAATGAAATAGATTTTGAAATAACTGTGAAAAGTGTAAAATGTCTGAGCATAAAGACCCTGCCACTGACAAAAGATGAATAAATGGGGCACTTCAAAGAAGGAATTTTCCAGCTGTGGCTCACAGGAATCTTCAAAAGCTGTTCCATATGAGATAGCAGGAAAATATTTTAATAATACATAGAAACAAATAATTTACTCCCCATTATAAAGAACAAACAGAGATGGTGTTGATTGCTTTTTAAGACATTTACCTTTTAAATTATTATCACTTAAATCCAGACAAGGAAAACTTGAGTGTGATTTTTTTTTTTTTGGATTTCCAGGAGAATGAGCATAAAGTAATTCTCAATAATCACTGGGCAAATACCTGACAGATGACACAGAAGTGAGAAGAACAGACACTGAGCCCTGTGGCCTTGATTTGGGCATAAAAGGAAAATGTTTTATGCGCTCATGTGTTATGAGGGATGAAACAAGTCTCTCAAATGTGGGCAGGGGGCCATGTCTCTGAAACTAGAGATGAAGTCAAGAGCCAGGGTCAGGTAGCACCTCCTGTGCTCACTCTCAGCTCAGCGCAGTTCCCTTCTTCAAGGCTTCCGTATGACTTGGCTAAGCTACTCTCATCATTCACACAGCAGGGCTTCCACCCGTTGTGTTGGAATCTCCGATCACCTGTTCTAGTGGAAAATCTTTTCTCTGATGCAGCTGATATGGTCTTCTCATGGTCGTCTTCATCCCCTGAACTCTGCACTCAGATCCAAACTAGACTGGCCATTGACCAGAAAAGAAGCCATCCAGTATTCTCCTAAAAGGACATCGTGACCAAGACCAGTAGACTCAAACGCATGCGGTCACACAGGGACCCATGCTCAGAAGGGCTGGACTGAGATTTAACGCTCTGCAGTATCTGTCTTCACGGTCTTGATGATTTTATCAATGAATTGTTATTTTGCAAGTGGCGGCTGATGGAACCAGGGAACGTGCTCTGGCAACTTATAACTTCGACTCACATTTTGTCACTCTTTCCACTGCCTCCTAACCTCCCAAGGATGGGTTTCTGATTGCTTGATGTCTGTCTCCTGGCCCCCAGGCCCTGCCCTGCCTCCTCCCCTGACCTTCCACACGTCGACGGTGGCTGCTGTCCAAGTGGCAGCTGGGCCATGTCAGCTGAGGGGAGGAAGCCTCTGCCTTTTGCCATCACCCTCTGTCCCCCGGAATGGGCCAGGCATATGCATGCCCTGTCATTTCTGAGAAAGGGAATTTTGGCAGCAGCTCCCAACCCAGGTGGCTCCATGGTAGCCTTTCACCCACCTTCTGTTCAGGTACAGAGTTTACAATCCCTTGAGGATGACCCGAACACAGTTAATTGGAGCTGTCGGAGATAGATTTCCCTGCCTCTGGCAGGTGCCTCACATTATTTAGCTAGATCTAAAGAAATCCTTCTGTACCGAGTCTCTACTTAGAGACCCATGAAAAACAAGAAACTGATAACTTTGTGTTTTAAAACGCTGAATCCCTGGGGAATTTTAATTCAAAAGTTCTTTATAGACCAGGAACGGTGGTTCACACCTGTAATCCCAGCACTTTGGGAGGCCAAGGTAGGTGGATTACCTGAGATCAGGAGTTCGAGAACAGCCTGGCCAATATTGTAAAACCCTGTGTCTACTAAAAATACAAAAAATTAGCTGGATATGGTGGCAGACACCTGGAGTCCCAGCTACTCAGGATGCTGAGGCAGGAGCATCACTTGAACCTGGGAGGTAGAGGTTGCAGTGAGCCGAGATCATGCCATTGCACTCCAGCCTGGGCAACAGGAGTGAAACTCCATCTTAAAAAAAAGTTCCTTGTATAAAGCTGAAAATTGGTACTACATTATTATTACTTACAGATACTAGTTCTACCATCTAGAACAAAGCAAACAAGCCTGTGTCTCTCTTCAATAGAATAACTTCCAATATTTGAAAACTGAATATCATATTTTCCCTATTCCTCAGGAAAAACATTCTTATTTTGTTCAGCTTTGCTAAGTATAGAGGTATCAACACTTCTTTCCAGACTGGCTAAATTCCTTTAAAATCTCTCTTGTCACTTAGAGTGATATACGATACACCAGATTTGCTCTGACAAATATATAGTTCATCAGGAAGATTCCTGCCTCCACCTGGACAATAGGATTTACATTATCACTTGTAATAACAGCCTCATGGTAAAGGCTAACATTGAGTTTGTAGTTAATTAAAGCCCCAGGGCCGACATAAACTCAAATGTGTCTTGCCCCATCCTTTACTGATAGAATTGATTTTTTAAATCTATGCACTGGACTATGCTTTTATTTCTATTAAGCTTTATCTTTCATGATTTGACTGCATTCTCTAGTCAAATGAGGACTCTTAAATCTCCATATTTTTGTTATCAGATCTTGTTCCAAGCTCTGTGTTAACAGCCAGTTGTAAACACCCTTTCATATAAATGTCACTCGTTTACTTATTCAAATATACATTGAATTGATCAAAGGAGTAAGAACTGCACTGGTGCTGGAGTCAATGATGAGCAGAACTGGTTACCACATTCATGGTGCCAATGGTCTACTGATGGTGAAGACATGAATCAAATATCGCACAGGTGAGTGTGGTTAGAGCTTTGGTCAGCAGAGGCCATGAGGACATGAAATGAGAGGAATTTATCTCGTCTGGGAGGGCAGGGAAAGCTTTTCTGAAAGAGTGAAGACAGGATAGAGAGCTAAACAGAGCTGTCCAAGAGGACTATAACGGAAGCCACACAAATTATTTTAGATAATCTAGTAGCTACATTAAAACATATAATTTTAAGTGAAATTAGGCTGAGGGACATGAGAGGGATTGGGAAGATGCTGGTTACAGAGCACAAAATTTCAGCCAGACAGGAGGAATATGTTCAAGAAATCTATTGTACAACATGGTACGATAGCTGTATAGTTAAAAATTGCCACCAGGCATGGTAGCTCAGCACTTTGGGAGGCTGAGGCAGGAGAATCACTTAAGCACAGGTGTTCAAGACCAGCCTGGACAGCACAGAGAGACCGCATAACTACAAAAAATTTAAAAATTAGCTGGGCATTGTGGTGCATGCCTGTTGTCCCAGTTACGCAGGAGGCTGAGGTGAGAGATTGCTTGAGCCCAGATGTCCAGGCCCCAGTGAGCCGTGTTGGGGTGCCACTGCACTCTGGCCTGAGCAGTACAGGAAGACCTTGTCTATAAAAGAAAAAGGAAAATTGCCGAAAGACTAGATTTTAAGTGTTCTAATTATAAAATTAAGTATATGAGGTGATTCTTATGTTAATTACCATTTTACAGTGTATATTACAACATAAAATTGTACATCATAGGTGTAAGCAATTTTTATCAGTTAAAAAATAAAACAGAAAAGAAGAATTAAAAATATGTCACATTCAAAATAAAGAACAGGGGAAAGGGAACAAAATCTAGGGCAAGAATTTTGAGTAATGAGATCCTGTGACTTCTTTATTAGAGCTTTTTCTAGAGTTGTTAGAGCTGTTTTGCCAAAAAAGAAAGAAGTGAAATTAATTTTAATAATATATTACACCTAATCCATTACATCCAAAATATCATTTCAGCATATAATCAATAAAAAGTTATTGAGGTATTTTATGTCTTTTTTTTTGCATTCAGTCTTTGAAATCTAGAGTCTATTTTACAATTTAGACAAACCACATTTCAAATGCTCAATAGCCACATGTGGCTTGTGGCTTCAACATGGGCAGTGCAGCTGAAGCTAATGAGGTGAGAAGTGGTGGGGGGCCCTCCAGCAGAGGGGACTGTGTGTGTCCTGACTTTCTGGCAGAAAGAACAAGACCTGTGGGAGAGAAAACACAAGTCAGTGTGGAGCAAGATGAGAGTCAGGAAGTAGCTGGGCCTGATTCAGCAGGCCTTCAAGGATGTGCTCATTAATTTTATCTCTATCTCAAGCTAGGCAAGGTGGCTCACGCCTGTAATCCTAGCACTTTCGGAGGCCAAGGCAGGTGGATCACCTGAGGTCAGGAGTTCGAGACCAGTCTGGCCAAAAAGGTGAAACCTACTGTCTACTAAAAACACAAAAATTTGCTGAATGTGGTGGTGGGCACCTATAATCCCAGCTACTTGGGAGGCTGAAGCAGGAGAATCACATGAACCCCGGAGGCAGAAGGTTCGGCGTGCAGAGATTGCACCATTGCACTCCAGCCTGGGCAACAGAGCCAAACTTCGTCTGAAAAAAAAATAAAATTATCTTTATCTAGATGTAATGCTGAGCCAGTGAAGGATTTTAAGCAAGCATACGACATGGTCATATTTAAAAACCTCCCTTACCTTCCATGTTTTCATACAGATTATTGGTGGAAGCACTGAGTTCTTTGACCAACTACAGAAGGCCGGCACTATTCATTGCTTGGACTGATTATGATGTACTAAACTGTAGACCTCAAAAGGTAAAATACAACTTTTCCAACCACCAGAGTGCTGACATATAGTAAGTCCTCACTATGTATGTGTTGTGTAAATAATGAATAACAATTGAGGTCTTCCCCAATAGGCTACTTTCCAAGCACACACAGTTGCTTAAAGTCAGATAGCTCAGCTGTTTCCATGAGAAGCAAGTCGGTCCTTCCCTGAGGCTTCCAAAGTCACAGCTCTCATAACCCTGCATCCCTGACTCACCCCACAAAAGGTCTTCTTCCCTCTCAGGGGTAAGAGTTGCTGCCAGTTACAAAACAAACAAACAAAAAATCTAAAGCCTATAGCCCCTTTAGGCTTATCAGAGCATACTCCCCCCCAAAATCTCTATTCTGAGATTCGAGACATTTTGTCCTGTTACACCAAAACCATTAACAATGCACGGAGACAAAGTACT